TTAGACTTGTATCATTAGTCAATATAGCAGAATAAAGAATGGCCTCCATTAGAAAGAGAGACCACGAAAACCCTCATCTGGACGCCCAGAAATGGGACATCTCCGCAGACTGGAGCTCGGGAACTTTGAGAAATTCAGCATCATAACTCGAGCGACTCCAGGAAACTAGATCAATTCGCCCCAATGGGTTCGGCGTTCCCATCCAATCAAGCCCAAAAGACCACAAAAGCTCCTCCGAGAAACAAAGTTCGCAGAACAGCAAAATTACTTTCTCGCAAAAAAGCAGCGCATAATCAAATTCTGCTCTTCATAAATTCCAACGCTGTCGCCCAGATTTTAGATGAATGAGCTAACCAACAATTAACAACTTAATCCAACCGTTTTCATCTCCTAAAACTCTCCGATTTATCAAGCTGCCCAGAGAAGACGGCTGGAATTTCTGCGGCTAGCGATGGCGTCGATTTCTAGCCGGGCCCGCGGGGTCGCTGTCTGCCCCGGCGTCCGACCGTCTCCGGCCGAGAGAGTTGGCTCCCTATCTGAGATCGGGACCGAGCCGGGCGCCGCCGACCGATTATAGCCGCCATTTGAAGCCGTCGGAGCTGGTGACGCGTCCGACGGCCGCCGCAGATATATCGACGGTCGATGACGGAGACAACGACGGCCAAACAAAAACACTGCCGGCTCGGCTTAACTGCCAGATTGGAGCGCACGCGTCACGAGCGGCTCTGGAGACAAATGGTCCCCAGGGCGGACGGGAGCAGAGGCAATAAAGGGTGACGAGACGCTATCAGTGAGAGGGAGAAAAACGAAATCATTTTATAAACAATTCATCAACCAGGCTAGGCCCGTGAGTACAGAGAAACTAAGAAGAAAGAGCTTCATTACTCTTTGAATGATTCGTCAACTTTCTCATTTCCTTTAGTACCTACCTACCTAGGATTCATTTTCTGCAAAGAAAGAGCAACTTCTAAGCTGGTACAGATTTTACGTGTAGGTATGAAGTGTGCACTGTGCATATGGCATGAAATCAAATATCATTTTGTTAAGTTTTGTTTTTGGAAGACCATGAGTCATGACAAATACCTAACCAACACCCTGGCCGGCTTCTTCAGCCCCATTCGGATGAAAACGAAATGCAGCCCGGGCTGGGAGGTCATGTCTACCTCTGAGTCTACCAGTCACGGCCTGCTTCTTCTCAGCGGGCCGTCCACGGCTAAAGCACCTCATCTCGGTGGAAAACATTGCCCTCGTGACTCGGGGGAGACCGCCGAGACACGCAGCGCCCACGCCCACCCGAAGCAGGCGCCGAGAGCGGCGGTTATGTACACTATGAGCGTGCCACGCCGCCGTCCGCCGGTCTCCGTGAGGCGCGGGGTCACGCCAGGTCACGCTGGGTCACTGTCCGGGTCACGAAGAGTGACGCTGATGACGACAGAGAGGTGCCGCTGCTGGCTGTTTGACCCCAACTTCAACCTCAGCTTTGACTTTAGCTTCGACTCCGACCGTATCAGCACTCCGCATCTCATCATCGCCTCCGTCATCCACGGAACGAACGAAGACCACCGACCTCCACCCTCCGTCGCCGACCGGACGAATAGTTCGCGTCGCTGCCGAGGCGCGGCGCCACCGTCGACCAGGAAAACTGGCCCGGTGAGTCACCGTTCAGCCTCGCGGCGACCGCGGTGGACCGGGCGGCGGCGGCGGCGGCGGCGGCGGCGGCGGCTGGGCGTTACAATGGAGGGCCGGGCGGCGGGCGGGCGGCGGCGGAACTTGCCGCGATCTCCGGCACGGAGACGACGGTCGTTCTCACGCGCCGTGCGGAATCGTGAGAGCGGCACAATTCATCACACGGGTGGACGCGCGACTTCTCAGCTGGTGCTGAGTCGGAGCGCGGTTGGACCGCTCCGCAGCCTGCCAACCTCTCCAACCGCAGGTGCCATCGGTGACCGCGATGGTCATACCCACTCACAAAAGTCTGAAGTTGAGGGAGTCACGATATGCTCGCTACCTTCCGGCTTCCAGTCTTCCATGGCGGCAAACGCGTACGTGCATTTCGGTTGCGCTTGAGTGAGATTAACACACGCAACGAGCCCGCCCAGGCCTGCTGTCTCACATCATTTACTCAGAAAGATGTTGAAAAACACACGGGGTGCAGCCGTGAGGTATGTCAATGATGCAGCCTTTCGTGAGCTTGACGGGCTAAGGAGAGACCTTGACGGATTCACATGACGCAACCGGGGCTAATTTTGACCTTTTAACGTCGGCTCAGATATTCTGTTCTGCACGTATAGTTTCGAGATGCATCAAGCGGATGTCTGCAGTATGCACTGTAATCACGGGTGGCCAGACCGCTCTACCGATACGGCCGCTGTTGTTTTGCACAAAAAGCTTCATGATTCATGCGATCACGAGCTAGCTGCACGGTCCCAGCGGTGATGTTAACATAACTAGCGACAGAACAGCGATTTTTGGGTAAATATTTAGGCATGCTTGACATATGGGCTCATGGGTGAGTTTCATCCACAAAATTACTCGATGATTGATTTTCGTATTTACAGCTCGTATACAATCAGTCGAAGCCAGTGCTATAGACTCTATCATCAACCAATACCATGCAACTGGGTAAAACCAGCCAGCTTGTTGACAGGTCTTTTTTCGCCGCGAACACCAGAACACGACTGCTACGACGCACGACTTATAACGACGTAGCTACCGCGCCAGACACCAGTTGGGCCTCCCTGAGTGACCGCTGGCCTCGGCTGGCCACTGGACAGGCCCTGGTAAACACAGCCAGCCCTCGACGCACCCCTCCCCAACTCTGAACTCGACAGGGTCAGTACACTCGACTTCTCAGTACTACAGCTTGGTCTGTGTAATGTGCAGGTTGGAGCCACAGCAGACAGGATGACTCGTGTTGGCTGCCCCCAGATGAGCAGAAGGCATTAATTTTATTACATCAATTTTATTAATTAATTTTATTAATTTTATTTTATTTATTTTATTACACAATTTAATTATTAAATTTTTATTTAATTTTATTATAATTTTATTAGTTATTACAGAGCAATGATACTTCATACTTGCGTTTACCTGCATATCATGTTACGTCCATGAGGACTGGATAATGGATATATTGATACTCCTCAGAGCAGCTCTAGCCTCTATTTTACGCAAACAGACGACGCACTGTCGACTCTACGCATAATGAGGCTAGAATATTCGTTTCCAGCCAGGTGCCCGCTATCTAGCCCGTGACTCGAACGATCACTGATAAACAGAACCCAGTGTCCAAAGCCGTGTTTACAGCATCATCTAGACACGCACGGCGAATCGATTCCATCCGGAGATCTCGGCAATCAGTGTCACCATGGCTCGGGCGTCACTCTGATGTTGGCGACTACGGGGGCGAGCCAGCTGGCACCCCGGCGAGGGCGAGGGAGAGGGGGACTCGCCCCCTTTCCCACCCCATGGCGATCGTTATGAGATCGGTATCGGCACACCCGGCTGTTGACGGTCCCGCTGTGAGAAGGCAGGTGCAGAGGGGAGGGGAAGGTGTCCAGGTGAGAAGGGTGGCAAAAATGTGCGGCTAATGAGTGAGACAGGAAGAATAATGACGGACGGCGAGGGGAACAGAAGAAGGAATGAGTAAATCAACATTCTTCGTCGATATTCGGACGTCAACATGTTTTTGTCTTGTTTTCTGAACTCCATAGCATCTGAAATCCGTGAAAACTTGTTTCTACAACCCACTTCAGAAAACACGAGTAAACGAGCTACGATGAGACCGTTCCGGCTCAGTCGCTCCGGGCCCTGACCCGTCCGCTCCGAACAAGACCCGGACGTGTCAGACAGACCCGGAACGGATCCGGAGCGGCTCTCGTCTGCAGTCCGTCCGTATCTCCTCGGATCGTCACGCTGTGTTGTGGTACCGCCGCATGTTCGCCGGGCGTTTCTCCACGGCACGTCGTGTTTTTCCTGGCCTTCGGTGACTGGGTGCGGGTCGTTTGGAGCCAACACCAACAGCGGCCGACAACGGCCGGCGCCTTCAAACTCGCCCGCTAGGAAACGGTGCGGAACGCGTCCTTGGCAGCGGCTGGCATTTCGCTGCCGATAATGTGACGCGTACGCTCAGCTCGTTACTAATAACATCCGATATTTTCTACTCATCGTATTTGCTTCATTACCCAACCGCAACTTGTTCCTCCAGACGCAGCCGGTGAACTTCAAAAGGCACAAAACCAGCATAACATCAGAACTTTGGCTCTACTCGATAGCATTACACTTCTGCGGAACGAGCCGGCAACGTCAGACTGATCGAACACTGGTAGCTCAGTGGCGGCTGTGGTAGGGACAGTGGCAGTGGCGGGGGAGGGGCGGCTGAGTGCCGGCGGTGGGCGGCGAGGGAGGTCGACGGCGGTGGTGGGCGGCGTGCCAAAGACGTTCCCCGCGCAGCCACGGCGCGCCTTGATGAGCACGCCGTATCGTCGCGATGAAAAATGGCGCGAGTCGCGCGGCGCGCCAGCACGGTTGGGCGCGCTAGAGCACACCCACGAAGTGCCGCCAGGTGTATTCGACGACCACGGAGGCGGAGTAGCGCGAAGGACGATCTCACGCGCGTCAAGAGAGCGTAATCAAAGGCGAGGCCGCCGCGTCGAGCCGATCTCACCGTCTCTAGGCCAGGGACGGCGTGCCCCGCTTCTGGGACCGAGTCGACGAGCTAACATGTCTGTCGTCCGAGTGCAAACATGGAGACGATGACGCCAGAACCAACCACGAAACGGAAACCTGCGCTGATGTTGGTATGTTAGAAACCAGCAAAAGTGCACGGGTACACTGCCAGCTGACAGGTGGGTTTATCACGCCACGGTCGACTAATTCAAACACCTGCGCTTATCCCGAACCAGTTGAGTTTCTCTTCCGTCGCTGCTCAGATCACGCAAACCAACCGAGGAAGGAAGCCGACTCCACGTCTGTGCGCACACTGAAGCGCGGGGACTTACCTGGGCTAGACGGTTCCAGCGTTTGAAGTTCAGACACTGCTCTTCCAGGCCCATCTCCAGGCTCTGGATCTCAGCCTCCAGAGTACCCTGAAACGATAGAACATTGTCATTATAATGGTGATAAGATCAAACGGATTGCTTTAGTCACCAGTGCGTGACATTGGTGGTTTATTCGATAACATTAAATAGTATTTCAGTTACCGACAGTGTGTGATGCCACAAATGTTAACAAAATGAAAAAAAAAATTATCAAATAAAAGTATTTCACTAGAGACTCAGACGCTCGTTGAGAATCAAATCACACATATCAAACCAGAAGGACACGCTGTTTCACGTCAGGGCAACCACTCGCTCATCTGAAATGACACGAGACGTGCGTTGCAAATGATGGCAGTGCAAGCTTAACACACGTCATGCGTCATATGCGACGTCATCGTTAAGTGTCGGGCTCCATCCCTGCGGCCAAAGGGCGTCAGCGTTTGAGAGGTACATACACCTAGCGAGGCACCGCCCTGCGCATGCTGTCGGACGTCTGTCACTAGCTACAGACAGTGACGTAAGTTCTCGGCTAGAGCCAGCCACGTCAGTACTCGGCCACAAACATCAGTACTCAACCGACAGTCAGTCCTCAGGTGACGGCGTCAGTCCCAGTCACGTCAGGTCTCAACCGAAAACGTCAATCCTCAGGAGGCGTCGTCCTAAGGCCTAATCCTCTACTCCTCTATACCCAGGCCAGCGGGGCGCCGGAGGACGCGCCCGGTTCTGACACTCCGCCCGAGGACGCGCTCGACTCTGACGCGCCTCTGGCAGGTGAGAGGCGCTCACCACCCGCCGGGGCGTGGTCCATCGCTCAGCGGTCTCCGCCGGGGGCCGGCACACGCTATACAGCCGCGAGTTTCCGTACCAACTCCGACTCACAGGTCGAAGGAGATACGGCAGTTAACTGACGGCAAGCTGATGAACAGAGGTGCGGTATAGCGAGGTAGAATTACCACATAGATGGGGTTATATGGCGCTGTGAAATGCGACAGTGATCGTTTGTGGGATAATGGGAAAGCCTCCGGATTACAACGAGCACAGCAACAGGGCCGTTTACTGCCCGCTCGCCGCGGCACCCCTGGTGTATCGGCGAGAGAGTGCGGCTGTTATTACAGCCCTGCAGCTCTACTGTTGACAGTTCAACGTCCTCATCACACTGTGTCACAGGTCGGATAAACAACTCAACAACGGCCGCCCGTGACGAGCTCTTAACAGCGCGCTGACACATCGGCGTGTCATCCGTGCAGGTCTAGCAGAGTTGTTCCACCCGTCCCGGGGGCCGGCGGCGCGGGCGACATTTGTCATATGGTGTTTACCCCGGCCGCGCCGCCCCCCGCGGCTAGACGCTGCAGGCGACGGCACCAGGACCAACACCTGATACAGCTGCAGCTGGCAGCAGGAGGACCCTTCCGCCGCCACGGGGTGCCCCCTGCGACCAATCAGCCGCGAAAGGCTGTGACAAATGAGGAGGACGAGATGCACTCTGCGACGGATCGACACTAGAGCCCCCTGACAAATCAGCGGACTCGTTAGAGCCCAGAGAGCCAATAGCGAGAAATAAATGGGGCTATCTCTGGGAAGAAGAGCGACACTTTCTGTAAGCACGGTGCTATAAATACTCGCTGAGAGTGAGAGACGAAACGTCCCAGGCCGCAGCCTCGAGTCCATTGAAGTCGTGCCTCCAATGGCGCGGGATGGAGGCCAGTTGTGCTCGGCTGGTGACCTGCGACGACGTCTGTATGGGCTCCCTCCACGACAGTGAGATATTCTCCGGCCGCCGCTCCGCCCCGTTTCCGTCTATATTTGGGCAGCGACCGTCCCGCTAGGAATGCTGTCGCCTTTTGTCACGGACTGCGCCGGAGTCATGGCCACTCTCTGCCACAGTCCGCGCGACCCGTAAAAACTGCGCCGGTCAGCACAAAAAGCATCAACACGGACACAGACCGGCGATCGTGATGGCCTGGGGCGAGGCTGGCGGTCGCGAGGGGCAACGACCGGCCGCCCCCGCCCGCGCCCGCGCCGCCGCCCCCGCCCAGACGCTAGGTGTCAGACAGAGACCGGTCGTCGCGAGAGATGGAAACAATATGGTGCCGGAAGCGGGGAGGCAGCGATAAACAGGCAGCTGGGTGCTGGAGGATGGAGGGAGAGAGAGACCATCTGAGAGGCCGCGCCGGGTCGCCGCCGGAACACACCCGGTCGCAGAGGACACACCGAGCGACTACAGTCGCGCCGCGGCGGGGACGGCGCAGCGACGGGCGCCGCACGTGGCTGGCACAGGCCGCGCGGCGCACGAGCCCCGCCTCGGGCCGGATGGTCGCTATCAAACCGGACTTCTGTTGGCTGCACGCGCGTCCGCGGGTGTGCGTGCGGTCAGTTGAACGAATAGGGATAACGTTCGCGACCGGCCACACGCAGACGGAACTGAACACACGCAATCGGAGCTGTATGATTGATATGAGCGAGGAAGTGTGCACTTAACGGGGGAAATGGGATTAGATATTGACAAAGCCTGTCTCCTCGGCCCTGTTTTGAACACGCACTGCGGTGCCGAAGGTGGCCGTAATCGGCCTGATCGACATAACGTCTCGTTTACAAGGGCCTTTGTGATACGCGCACGCTTCTGCTCCATAGCGGTAAACCCTCATTGGAGGTTTAGTGCACTCTAGCGAATACACGTCCCGTTAATGGCCTCTTTGTTTTGAGATCCGAACAAGTCCAGATACACGTTTAAGATGATAGATAAGGCTACCAAACAAAAGATGATCCTTATTTGAGGTCATGCCCGAGGTCGGCTGAGGCTGGCGCAAGACCGCTCTGAAGAGAGATTGAGCCACTTGAGCTCCTCTATCATCAACGCGCGTAAAACGGGACTCGGAAACAGATTAATTTACAGCCAACGTTCCGAAACGCACCAACTTATCCGGCGCTGGCAGCTGAGAGCGTATAGCCTGGGAGGAAACGGTCAGAGGGTCGCCCGAAGAGATCAATTTTCCGCTCCGATTCCGTTTCCAAATGCACCTGGTGGAGCGCGCTAATCGTCCATGGAGTCCCGCTACGATTGTCGCATTTATGATGAGCGAAAAATCGCCCTGACAACCATGACAGATAGGCCGACCCACACACAGGCCGGCCCACGTGAAAATCCAGAGAAAGGAGACGGCTAAATGAGGGAGCGGAGAAGGGAGAAAGGCTGGGCTCCGACACGATTTCGATCACCATGCGATCTTAAACGATTGTCAATGGCTCCATTGTTATGAGCACACTCATGATTTCTATTACGAAAGGAAAGGTCTATCATGTTCACACTTCCGCAGTAAAATCTTAACGAGTGTCTCCAATCCACGTAAACCAATAACCGGGCACGAATATCTGTGACGTGGCCCGGCTGTGAACCTGTCAACTACAATCACTGACAGTCTCTCGGGCCGTTCGGCTCCTCCCAGTTCCTCCCCTCTGTCGCTCGGTGGGAGAGAGAGAGAGCGGCTCGCGAGCGCCGTGGGAGCGCGGGTCACAGGGGTCACAGAGAGAGGCGGGTCGGGGGAGCGGACGCCGAGTGATTCCCACCCAGGGTCACAACCACCGCCGGCACATGCACCGTGCCCGTCTGGGAACATAGCGCGAAAGTGCTTATTTTGAGACAAGGAGCGGAGAAATGTGTTAATGAAAAATTCGCCACCAGATGGCAGGGTACGTTAGCGCCTGGAGGTAGACTGCACCGCATGGCATCAACGCGGGATGTGCGATTTAGCATAGAATGAATGACGCTTAGCGAATACTTTAGAGTAGCATGGAAGGAGGATTACTGCTTTATCATTGAATATTAAAATCATGACACGATTGATCATAATTACCGCGAAAGCATTATAACTATGTACTCGGACTGCAACTAAACGTCATTTTTGTTGCATCAAATTTACAAGCGCTCTTTAAACTGCAGCCTTATATTCATGCTCCCAGTATACCCCAGCAACACCTCCAGATGTTCACGTGCTGTCCTCTCCTCTCCACTCACTCTCTCCTTCCCTCTGTTCTCTCCCGCTGCTTCGCTCCTCGTCACTCCGCTCTATTCTAATCGGTAACCGTTGTACCGGCCGGCACCGAACACGACATCAGCCGACTCCTCTATCCTTCAAGTGCCGGTCAGCCTGCAGTGGCCGGGTGAACTGGGTCGGTCCCTACCTCCCGCCGTCCCCGTCCGCCCTCAATGGGAACCCACCTCCCACGGTAGCAATAATAGATCGACTCGCTGCAACCCCACACAGGTGTGAGAGCGGCGAAGGGTGGCGTTCCACCGCGAAGGGTGGCTCGCAGGGCGGCAGACAACTGGCGTGCAGGTGCCGAGCCGCTCGGGCCTCAGGGGCGGGTGGCGCGGGACAGTATGCACCCAGCCCCCGGCGCGGAGCCGTGAAATACGACTGGTGAATGGGGGAGGGTGCAGGCGGAGCTGGCGGCGCGTGCAGCCGTGCATGGAGCCTCGACGGACAAGACAGGTAGCGTGGGATAACGGATGGCCAGTGTGCACGGCGCAGAGGGGTGGGGAAGGAAGAGCGAGTGGTTCAGGTGGTGTGCGTGAGAGAGCGCGCCGGTGTGAGTCGGTGGTTCTCAGCAGGGGTGAGACGGCCAGGAAACAGGGAGGACGTGATGGAGGGACAGGGTGGGAGGGAGGGGAGCGGAGGCACCCGGTAACTGACATACGGGTGACGAGTGTAGAAAAAGACCAGGGACTAAATAGATGAGCCAAAAGACACATAAGCATATCGCATTCATGGAATACATTGTTCAAAAAATATCGGAAATGACAGAAGGAATAATCCAGGGACAGGGCGTTTCATCCACCTTCAATTCTTTGCCACAGAAATTGCTAAGGAAATTGAACTAAATGCATAATCTGAAACCGCTATACGAGACATGCACGAAGCGGAAGCCGATCACCTCAGTCCGACGTGAGGCGGAAGGGAAGGCGCCCGCCTCCCGGCGGGACGTGAGAACCAGAGCGGCAGGTTATCGTCTGTTTACGCTCTCGCCGCCGGTCGATTTGGCGCCCCGAATGGGATCAAGCGCGGCGCCGTCCTGCCGGTTATCAGATTAGATAGTCGACCGCGCGCTACAGCAGGGGAATACGCCACCGGGGCGGAGCGATAGCCTGCAATTGGACGCGCTGTTTGGGGCAGAGACGGGAACGGTAGGGACTCACCTGAGCGCTGGTAGCCTCACTGCTGTCGCTGTCTCGTCGTGGACTTTCTCTGGGGACGACCAGTTGTTCGAACTGGGCCACCTTGTCCTTGACCTTTCTGCCTGGGGTAGGTGACCTGATGGGTGACCCCCGGTCGGGCAGAGCGGGAGGACGGGTGTTTCGCACCTCCTGGTTGTTTTCCTCCTTCCGCTCCTTGCCCTTCAGAGTGGTCTCTGGCTCAGGGTCCTCCTGATCGTCCTCAATGAGAGGGGTCATCTCACCACTGTCCTTCTCTCGGAGGGAGGACACCTCATACCGAGGCCGTTCTTTTGGCACTGTGTGGTGGAGATCCCTCTCCTTGAGAGAGGCTAGAGTGTGAGCTCCCCTTCCCCTAGGAGACGACACAGTTCTGATGTCCCTGTCCTTCAGACAACTCACAGAACGGAGATCACCGTCTCTCAGCGACCCAAAGTCCCGGTGGGGCAGCTCCCTCTCTGGGGCGGGCTCTCTCCACTCGTCCCTTACTGGCGGGTCGTCCCTCCGGCCCGCGTCCCTCTGTGGTGACCTCTCCCGCCGTCCCCCATAGCTGGGCACAGTGGCCGCCGCCGGGCGCTCCTCCGGCCGCTCCCGCCGCTCCACCGGTGGCTGGATGAACTCGATGCGGCCTCCCTGGACGCAGATATTGGGTGTGGTGTAGGCGCGGAGTGCGGCCGGGTCGCGCACCTCTGTCGGTACCCGACCCGTGGTGGCAGCGCTTTCCGCAGCTCGCCATGACCTGTCGGACACACACAGAACCATCGGTCAGTAATGAGCATCACGCAGACAGACTGTGAATGAATCCATGAGTGATCAGATGCGAGGAGAACGCGCCGCCTCGGGGCTCAGCCGACCGCCGGCCAGCACAGCGCCCGCACCTGAATGGCAGATGGGATTTTAAACGCGGGGTCAGCGCTCTCCGAGCCCAACGATGAGGGAGTTTGCGTGCTCAGCGTCGCCCCTGAATTAATCAGCCGTTTTTCATCGAGGGGTAAATAGCTAGACCGTATTAGAGCGTTGATTCCGCGAGGGCTGATGAATGGTCGTTTTTAGCGGGATGGGCTCATTGAATCAGCCGGGCACGATTTACATACTTAGGGGCCAGTAACGGGCTAAATCCGGCGGAAGGTGAGAGAGACAAATAGCAAGTCGAGCTATAACACTCAAGCGAAGCATCGGCCATTTTACTATGATGATGCACGGCATAGTAAAACATTATAACCATCAACATGGACACGGGATATGAGACTAAAACGGTCAGGTGAGGCAATATATTTACAAAGGCGAGCTTTAGGGCGCTCTGCTTTAGGCCACATCGATTAAACCAGTTCCTAAAACGATAATCCAAATGAGAACATTCACAAGATGGATGAACCGGCTTGGTTTCATCAATAACTTAGAGGTCCTCTATCTAATTGTATCGGGACCGTATCAAGATGAATGAAACCAGTCCCCGTGCGTGGCAGTCCAGCCAGCCGCCCACATCGCGACTGGGGTAGGAGGACTGGATGAACTGGGTCGTCAGAGCAGGCCCAGTGTCTCAATCCGTCCCAGTTGTGGCGTCAGTCACGTCCCAGCCACCAGCTGCCAGATTCTGTTCCGTGCTCTGCGCTGCCAGACGCGATCAGAACCTCCTCGTTAGCACGAGGTATTGTGTGTCACGGTGCCACCGCCGGGATGCCTAAACATGGCCGCGCAGCCTGGAACAGGCAAGGCCTATCGGACCTCACGCACGGCTGACCCCGCCGCCTGCCCTAAACACAGCCTCTCTGGGACATATTCCGAGGTCACGTAGCCTCAGATCCGGTGTCCAGGCTATGTGGAGGGCCTTGTTTTAGTTTTAGACTGGTAAGCGGTAAACCTGAACCATGAAGCTTACCCATGCGTCAGGCAGCTGCATTAAGAGGATCACCCCAAATTGGGAGGTCTCAGGAGGGCGATACTCCAGCTTTCATGAGCTTTGTTTTTAGTCACCGTGTGGAGTGATGACCAATGCTGGCCTCACGACATGACATCAGGTTTTCACCAGACGTGAGTCATCACCCATTTTGGAGACTGGAACAGACACTTAAGGGACCAAACAGCAAACACTCGTATACAGTAAATAAATATACGAATGCAAATATAACCAGGTCATGATGGAGACACAGCAGGTCTCGAGGGAGGCAGCTGACGCAAGAGCGGCGTCTTGCTGAGGACTCAAGGAAAACAGCCTCCCACACCGGGCCAATAGAACGAACATCAATCTGCTCTTAACTTGGCCATATCAGCATTCAGTCTGAAGGGCAGTCAAGGTAAGGCGAGGTGAGATGAAAGATGGCATGGCGAGTGTCAACCTACCAATAACAGTGATGCATACGTTCTTTGAATATTTGAAATGCCAATTAAAATATTTTGAAAACGGTTCAACCGTACCAATTACTGAATATGTTTTAAGATAACCTTTATAAAGTCAGCACCCAGCTGATCTCATTAAACAACACGCCAGTTAGCTCTCAATTGCGCTTATAAATTACACCAGCATTCCGCACCTGACTTCATGAGGCACCCTGTCCTGTGCACATGCACAGTTGCCAGTTTGTATCAGCAGTTCGATCAGGGACCTGCCGTGGCGCCGCGGCGGCTGCAGCGGCCGGCTGACCTCCCGATTCCAGTCCATCCCTCGCTGGGCCTCTACTGGCGACCCGCAGACTAGGCCTGCAGCGCGCGGCCATCTCCATGAAATATGCACCGGAGACATATACGGCGTGGCAGCGACGATGGCGCGATAGCCGTCAGGAGAGGCGAGTCACCGTCATGTATACCGGCAGCCTGGCCGGCGCCTCGACCGGCTGTCTCGGCCCGGGGGCCGGTGGGATGGTTTGGAAAAGGTGTGGTTACTTCCGGTGGACCAGAGGGATAGGAAGGGGAGGTTGAACCATAGCGATCGGCGATGAGCTGGTGGGTATTTGTGTGGCATGTGTGTTTTTGTGTAGGTGTACAGTTGTGTAGGTGGGTGTTTTATCGACTATCGTAAGCAAACATCAGTAGGCACTAAGTAGACTTATCACGCCTCGATTTCTTGACAAAAAACTTAGTTTCGAGAAATGAACGTACTCATCGTTTTTCTATTCTGAAACTCCTCTGCTAATCGAAATCTGCTAGTCTCACTGTTTGTCTACCTGTTCAGACTTCTGATTGCTCTTAATTTTGGTAGGATAAGTAGCTGACTGGCTGGGTTTTCCGACTCTCCGTTCGCCATTCCTATCTTCAGAATTCCTCTCGCATGTCTCTGCCCGGAGCTAGAGTGACGGCGGAGCACCAGCGGGCACTGGGCCAGACGTGTTTTTCACCAACTCTGCCTCAGGGTGGGAGTGTCTCCGGTCTCGCTTCACCGCTGGGGCATTCCACGATAGATCGTACCAGGCCCGTCACCCTCATCTCTCAGATTTTAATGAAAATCGGTCCTAGGGGTAATCATAGGCCACAAAGACGTCTGGCCAAATATCAGACTTCTCAGATCAAAACTTTTTGAGTTATATTGCATTACATTTTTTTTTAACCTCGGTTTGTAACGGTGAGTTTGATGGCCTATAACTCAAGAACGGGTTAAGCAACCAACAAAAAGTAAACAACATTAAGCTTGCGATGAATCAAAAACTAATATTACTATTTAAAAATTCCAAAGAAAAATTTTCATTGTTGAGCAAAAGCCTTAATCTTTTTTCATTTGCCTCTAATGACTTTTGGGACCAAATTTTTTTACATTTTTATTTTTTCAAAATAAACTTCATCTCATTGCAAATCGACATGCGAAAAATTAGAAAGGCGTTCTTTCTATAAGTTCCTCATTTTCCCGCAAACAAAATGGGTTTCGGAGGGGTTGATACGACCCCAGCACGCCGTTTCGCTTCTAATGGAGCTAGAGCCTCGCGGAAAAAACATGCGTGTGCGCCGTTACAAGTCGCAGCGATTGGTACCCGATTTTAAGGTCTCAGGTTAACCGGTAGCGTCTGAGGTCAGGTCAAGTGACTGAAGTTACGGGTTCGGTTTTTAGTCAATAACTTCGCAAAAAATGGCCGCAGAGCCACGATTTTGGCATCATTGTGTTCGCCTAGCTCAGGTGCATCGAATGGTATACTTTTTGCTAGGGTGAGGTCAACTTAAGTAGTTGACCTCGGGTCAAGGTCAGGTCAGAGCCCCTCAGGTCACGAAGCTGGGCAAAGGGTATCATATGGCATATCATTCGATTCGGAAGGTCTTCCCGAGTCCAGTGGTGGCTTTCCCGACTCTCTAGCTCCATTTGATCGGGAGTTATTGACGAAAAACTCGTACGACCCTAGTGACGTCATAAATGACGTCACGCAAGGTTAACAATGCAAAAGTGAAGCATTGGATTTTGCAAGGAGTGCATGAAATCACGATACCATGCACGTGAGATAGTTTTAGATCATTCTCGGCGCCAAAATAGCAGTTTTTATATTTCCCCATTGACTTATAATGTAGTGATGTCACGTGACCGACCTGACCTCATGTTACCTTAAAAAATTCCCAGATATACAAGTTGTGAGACCTCTGGAGGACACCATGTATGCGTCCTGTAACTTTCATCTCGGACAGCTATGGTCATGGGCGTCCAAAACAATGTCAGAACCAAACAGCCTTTTTCACCCTCGCGCTTATAGGAAAGAGGGTTGGATAAACCCTCTTTTCACTTTTTTCAGACGACTCAGACTTCAATTGAAATTTCAGTAACCCGTGATGTCACTAGGCAGCTTTACCACGCCATTTGTAAGCTCTCCTCCCAAAATCACTATTCGAAACCGTTATCGTGACGTAAAATAAATACATTTATAAAAAGAACACCTTCCTAATTTTTTGCATACTTCCTAACAATGAGCCAAATATTTTTTTAAAGAAATAAAAATTCAAAAAAAATTTGGTCCCAAAGTCCAAAAAATACAAATGAAAGAAAACTCGATATGTCATATATCAAAAATAGCGTATTTTTCGAAATTTCAAAAATACATATTAATCTCTGTTTCATTGCAAGTTCAATGTTATATAACATTTGGCATTTGAATAATCCGTCTAAGAGTTACAGCCCGCCAAACTTAGCGCTGCAAAGCAAGATCCAAAAAATGTTATACACCATAACTCAAAAAATACTTATATGATAAGCCTGAAATTGTTACAGGTGGATTCAGAGCCCCTGATTACCCCTGAGACCAATTCTCGTCAAATTCCGAGAGATGAGGGTGTCAAATTGGAAAAAAGTGGTACGATCTATCGTGGAATGCCCCCGCTGTCTCCGTCATCTTACGGCCCCACCGGCCACCACCCACCACCCAGTGCCCACCACCACACCGCCCGTCGCTCACCGCTGCTTCACTAGTCACCACTCACTGCTCCCCCCCCCCCCGTGAATAGTGCTCCGCCTTCCACAGCAGCAGCCAGCAGCCCCAATACCCTACCACATTTACCTCAAACAGAGCCTATCATTGAATATCTCACCTCCACGCCCACAACCCAAAATCCATCTCCCTAGTCCCTAGCTTTGTCTCTGTCCTGTCGCCGACCTTTCACCTCCCTTGCTGCCGTCCAAAGGCAAAAACGCATATGTCGGGTCATGACCTGACCCGACATATGTGGTTTTGCCTTTGGACGGCAGCTTACCTTACCACCCAGACCACCGTACCACAGAGGCCGCAGCCCACGTCAGCCGCATGAACTCGGGTCAGAGGTGCCCCTCGGGGTCAC